AGAAAATGATGTTCTTGTGTTCTTGAAGGAAAACCATGTTTTGATCCGAAAGTTTATAACAAGTTTCGTGTTTTTATGTTTGTTTTCAAGAAGATCTTCAACTACGGGTACCCAGGTCCATGTTTTTGAACTCATCTCATGAAATCTCAGATTTTGGAATAAAAGTTATGATTTTAGCATTCATGTTCTTCATGTTCATGTGTCTTTATGTTTTTCAAGAGGAAACCCAGATTTTCCAGACTTCATTTCCCTAAGTGTGGTCACCGAGACCCACTCTTGCTTAGATCTCACACCTAGGCCAAGCATCATATTTCATCTTGGCCTACCTTGCCTGATCGCCTGCACTTTAGTCTATCTTGCATGCACACCTAGGCCTAGGAGACCATACCTCGGCCAAGAGGTATGGGACCTCACCCAAAACCTGGTTAGTACCCAGCATGTTTTCCCGAGATGAGAAACAATGTTTTAACTCCCCAGCACATGTTTTGCTTTATCTTGACTTAGTTTTGAAAGAAATGTCGAGATCATTTACACTCATGTAAGGCTTGTTTTAAGGATGCATTGCATAGCCATCTTTTGAGCATTCCTTCTTGTCTTCTTGAAATACATTCGGTGGACCTTGCTATGTTTTTGTAGGTCTTGGATTCTTGCCTTAATCCCTGCACCCGAAGAGCTATGTGAGTGGTATTTTTAATAAAGCTATGTTATAATGTTTTGATAAAAGCTTTGCTTTGCTTTGTTTTGGAAAAGTGTTGTTCAAGTATGAATGATTATTCCTAGTTTTGTATCAAGTACTATCTTGTTTTGATGACATTCTTGGAAAGTCCTTAGTGCTAGGGGACTATAATGCAACTAGTACCCTTGTTTGAGATATCTCCCTTGCCACCGACGGCCTTGTACGGGTGGGTTTGTCTAATCGATTCCGGGTTGATTATTCCCTTGTTTTGTCAGGAATGTCATCCCTTGTATTATATTGATACTAGTAAGCATCCCTTGAAGCTTTGAAAGACTTGATAGATGAACTTGGTTCATCCTTTAATTTGTACAATATATGTTATGTAATGTTTTGATAAAGATCTCGAATATCATTCATTCAAACCTTTATTACTAATATCATTCACTGAGTATCCAAGCTCACCCTTTCCTTATATATATGTAGGTGACGAGCAAGAGGGCGGTGACGCCTAGATGTCATGTGCAAGTTGTTTTGGATTCATGTTTTGCTAGCATCTTGAAGATTATGCTTCTTAGTTTGTAATTCATGTCTTTTGTATATTTCGGCTTGAGAAGCCTTTTGATCAAGATGTAATATGTACTTTATTTCATTTGTATCCAAGTTGTAAACCATGTCATAATGTATATCATTTCATTTGATTTATGCACAGCTCTTATGGACTATTTAAATTTAAATTTATTGCTTCCGCACATGTATGCCCCATATATATATACTCTGATTATGTGAATCTTTGTAAGTTGGCCTTTGGTAATCTCGGATTACTGGCCATCATGGCACCATTCTACTAGGGGCGGAATGGGGTCATGACAGCTATGTTTTCTTCTTTCTCATTATCATCTTCTGTTCCCCTCATACACACTACTGATGGTTCTCATATGTCTGTTAGTCACATTGGCCCAATCGTTACTTCCACTGTGTCTCTTTCTGATACTTATCACATTCCATATTCCTGCTCTTCAATTGAACCTTATCTCTATTGGTCAGTTATTTGAACTTGGTCTAATTGTTACATTTTCTGCTAATGGTTGTTTGGTGCAGGACCCTCAGACTATACAGATCATTGGGATAGGCCGTAAGCATGGACGTCTGTCGAGCTTCTGCATCTTCGCATTCCACACAAAGCATCTACTGTTGCTTCCATTGCTTCCTCTGCTGCTGCATCTACTATGTCTTCTTTTCATCTCTGGCATTGTCGCTTAGGACATGTCTCTTTTAGTCGTTTGAAACCTTTGGTTTCTAGTGGCCAGTTAGGTCGTGTCCGTCTTGAAGATGTCGATTGTTTATCTTGTCAAATTGCTAAACAACCTGCTTTACCTTTTAATCAAAGTACTTCTATTTCTACTGCTCTTTTTGATCTTGTACATTCTGATATTTGGGGACCTTCCCCCACACTAACCATGGGGGGGTCAAGATACTTTGTGATTTTTGTTGATGATTTTTCTCGCTATACTTGGCTTTTTTTTCTCAAAAATCGCTCCAAATTTAAGCAGATTTATTATGATTTCTTTGCCATGGTCCACACTCAGTTTTCTCGTACTATTAAGATTTTTCGTTCTGATAATGCTAAGGAGTACTTGGATTCTGATTTTCTTTCTTTTCTTCGATCTCATGGTACATTATCTCATCAATCTTGTGCAAGCACATCCCAAAAAAATGGCCGAGCCACACGAACGGAAGCACCGTCATATTCTCGACACTACTCGGGCTCTTCTCATCTCCTCTTCTTGTTCTGAAAAATTTTGAGGGGAAGCTGCCCTCACTGCCATTCACACCATAAATCGTGTCCCTACACCTGTCATTGCTAACACTTCTCCTTACGAGCGCTTATATGGTTCTCCTCCTGACTATACCACTCTTAAAGTTTTTGGTTCTGCTTGTTTTGTTCTACTCCAGCCTCATGAACACACTAAACTAGAACCTCGTTCTCATCTTTGCTGTTTTCTGGGATATGGTATAGAACATAAAGGGTATCATTGTTGGGATCCTATCTCCAAGCGCCTTCGTATTTCCCGTCATGTGGTCTTCTGGGAACACAAAATGTTCTTCAATCTTTCCAAGTTTCAACTATCACAGTCCACTCACTCACCAGCCTTTACCGATATTTCCCTAAACTTGTTTTCTACTGAATTTGATGCAGATTCTAGCTCCATGCTTCCACAGTCGCCTACGCCTATCGTCCATCTTGAGGATCCTGTGTCTGCTGACGGTCCTACGCCTTTTCCAGCTCTTGTGGAGGTTTCTCCATCTCCACCTCCCATTGAGGTTCCTCCTCCACCAGAGCGTCACCCTACACGGGTAAGGCAACGTTCTGTTCTTCTCCGTGATTATATTGTTGGTTTCACTGCCTTTTCCTCCCATGAACCTACTTCATCATATCGAGAAGCTTGTTCTAACCCTCTTTGGCAACAAGCTATGACTGATGAACTGCAAGCTTTTGATAAAACTCATAGCTAGGATGTGGTTGATCTTCCTCTTGGAAAGAGTACTGTTAGTTGCAAATGGGTTTACAAGCTCAAAACTCATTCTGATGGTTCCATTGAGCGTTACAAAGCTCGCCTTGTAGCCCGGGGATTTACTCAAGAATATGGGATTGACTATGAGGAAACATTTGCTCTTGTTGCTCATCTTACTTCAATTCGTAGCTTACTTGCAGTTGCTGCTGCTCGCCACTAGAGTCTTTTTCAGATGGATGTCAAGAACATTTCTCAATGGTGACCTCACTGAGGAAGTTTATATGCACCATCCTCCTGCTTCTTCTGTTCCATCAAACAAAGTTTGCAAACTTCACCGTGCTTTGTATGGTTTGAAACAAGCTCCGCGTGCCTGGTTTGCCAAGTTCAGCTCCACTATTCGTGACTTTGGTTTTTCCTCCAGTGACCATGATTCTGCCTTGTTTATACGTAAGACGGAGCGTGGTACTATTCTCCTTCTAATCTATGTGGATGATATGATTATCACTGGAGATGACACAGTGGGTCTTTCTAGTCTCAAACAGTTTCTCAATCGCCAATTTGAGATGAAAGATTTGGGTTTGCTTAGTTACTTCCTTGGCTTGGAAATTTTCTAAGATTCCTCTGGTTATTTTCTTACCCAGACCAAGTATACTTATGATCTCTTGGCTCGGGCTGGTCTTACCGATTGCAAGACTGCCACTACTCCGGTTGATCCTCAGACTCATTTTACCCCCTTGACGATTCCCTACTGACTAATGCCACTTTATATCGTCAACTAGTTGGCAGTCTTGTCTATCTCATGGTTACTCGTCTAGATATTGCTTATGTTATTCACATTGTCAGTCAGTTCATGGCTGCTCCTCGTTCTCCACACTATGATGCTCTGGTTCGCATTTTACGCTATCTCAAAGGAACTCTGTTTCATGGTCTTCACTATTCCTCCCACTCTTCTCTACAACTGCATGCATTTTCTGATGCCGATTGGGCCGGGGATTCTACTGACCGTCATTCCACTACTGGGTTCTGTTTTTTTTAGGCAACTCTCTTATTTCCTGGCGTAGCAAGAAGCAAACTCTCATTGCTGGTTCTAGGATCGAGGTTGAGTATTGTGCTCTTGCTGACACTACTCAAGAGCTTGTATGGCTTCGTTGGCTTCTTTCTGACATGGAAGTTTCTCATTCTACTGCCACCAATCTTTATTGTGACAATCAGAATGCTATTCAGATTGCACATAATGATGTCTTCCATGATCGCACCAAGCATATTGAGATTGATTGCCATTTCATATGCCAGCATATTACTAGTGGCCTTGTTCGCCTTCTCTTTGTTACCTCTGTTGATCAGATTGCCGACCTCTTCACCAAAACTCATCTTCTAAGCCGCTTCTCTGATCTCCTCTCCACGCTCAAGTTGATATCTGCCTTACCACCTTGAGCTTGAGGGAGGTGTTAGCTGTATATTATTATACTTATCTATTGTATTGTAAATATATCTCTATCTATACTTATCTCAATCTCATTGTTTCTCTATCTTCTTATGTACATATCTAAGTTTCTTACCAACCTATATATACAGACTTCTACTATTGTATTATTTATTCAATTCAATATATTAGAATTACTCTTATGACACTTACTAAGTCAACCATATTGGTATTGAGAGAAACAAAATTAAGAGAATGGAATATCATTTTCAAAAAATAAAAAATGAAAAATGAAAGGAGATGGGGATGAGTACGTGGCAATTCCAGCTTCAGTCTAGGTTGTTTCGTTCGAGACCGCAAGTTCTACTGTTGCCATCTGGTTTGGTAGAATAGACGATATCGTGAGGGAAGAAATTATTCAATGCTGCTGGAATAATTTCTGTCGTGAGGGACGGATCCACATTCTTCGAAAAAAACAAAAAAAAGCAGTTGGTTTTGGTTTGGTTGTATGGCTGGCTGTCTGTTTAAAGTGGAGGTAGAAAACTGATGGTCATTAGCTAAAACATGACTAGTGCCGCTGCCCGGACTCCTACACCTACTACTGCCGCATTCAACAGTACTTGTAAATGGCGACCAAACTCCTCCGCCGAATATTTCTTCGCTACTATCTCTCTCCGGAATCCTCCCACCACCACCGCTGTAAGTGCCCGTTGCCGGAGGGCTACTGATCGTGGTCACAGACGTTTCGCTCTATCCGTTGTTCCAAGGGCTACTTCTCCATCATCATCATCTTCTTCTTCTGCCCCCAAGACCCGCAAGGATCATAATCAGAATCGCAAGGATGATGATGATGATGATGATGATGACATTGACACTACCAAACAACAACAGCAATCGCAGCCGTCAGTGTCGATGATAAGACTGGACGACGTGAACCCGGTAGGACTGGGCCGGCGTTCAAGGCAAATATTCGATGAGGTGTGGCGCAAGTTCTCTGGATTGGGACAGATCTCCAGGACCACTCGCACCGACGATGAGACTAGCCTTCTCATCAACGAGGGCGGTCCCATGTGTGAATTCGCCATCCCTGGTGCTCAGAACACCACCGTCCTCGTCGTCGGTGCCACCAGCCGTGTAGGCCGCATCGTTGTCCGCAAGCTCATGCTCAGGGGTTACACCGTCAAGGTTTCAATTTCTCTCTCTCTCTCTCTCTCTCTCTGTGTGTGTGCTTTCTTCTCTAGTAAATGATGGATATCCCCATACCTGGCACTGTATGGAGGATGGCTTGCCTTTCCTCAATCCAGACCAGAGATATTGGTTTTTATTTTTTATTTTTATATTTTTGTAAGAGAAAAATACTTGGATATAATATGCACAAGATAATTAATTTGTCTCGATTTTATTTTATTTAAAAATAAATAATAAAATAAAATCCATTTCCTTTTCAGGCTCTAGTTAGGAAGGCAGATGAACAAGCGGTGGACATGCTTCCAACCTCTGTGGAGATAGTAATTGGGGATGTTGGTGACCCCTCCAGTCTCAGGTCTGCTGTCAAAGGTTGCAACAAAATCATCTATTGTGCCACAGCTCGTTCGTCTATCACTGGAGATCTCAATAGAGTTGACCATCAGGGAGTTTACAACCTTACGAAAGCATTTCAGGTTTCTGATCTTCCTGAATGTAGTGTCTTGCATTAGTTAGTCTTAAAAGGGCCGCATCTATCAATCGTGTGTTTGCCTGCTCAAACATGCTTCAAAAGTTGACTTCTTTTTAGCAGATATGACTTCCATTAATAGGTTTTGAACCTGGTCTTTCTAACATTGCTGCATAGCATAGGTTTTGAATGTGCCAGACATGGTTTATGTAGGATGGAGTTCATTTGGTGCTTCTCAGTTTTGTTTGTTAAAAAAAAAATTAAAAGAACTCGTTTCTTTAGCATCTTAGCTTGTTGTGGTGTTGTCTTTGCATTACATGACTATGTTGTTACATTGATTCTTCATATTTCCGAGGTGTGTCCAAATGCCCACTTCGGAGTTTTCTTGGGTGAATCTGAGGTCCAGCACAATTGCAGGACTACAACAATAAACTGGCACAATTACGAGCAGGAAAAAGCAGCAAAAGTAAGCTTTTACTTGCAAAGTTCAAGTCTGCAGATTCGTTGAACGGGTGGGATGTTCGTCAAGGAACTTATTTCCAGGATGTTGTTGCTGCTAAGTACGATGGAGGAATGGATGCTACATTTGAATTCGCTGAGAGTGGAAATGCAATTTTCTCAGGTAAAGTGGTGGACCCTGGGTGAATTGAACCGCATTCCAGTTTGCACATTAGATTTACAGATGGCATATACAGGTGAAGATTCTAAAGTTTTAAAATATTGTCTCACCCATCTAGTGATGACTCCTTGATTTGTACTGTGATGGATGAATTTAAACATATTTTAGAAGGGGGAGGCAACTGAGAGTTTAGGCCATTTATGGCATATTAGAGACTCTGATGCTGTCTGACGCCTCTTTATATTTAGCTTTGATGTATGGAATGCCTCTAATATGCCAAATATGTCTTGTCTGCTCCTGTCTTGGATGGCTCACATCTTTTCAAGATGATCTCCATCCTTCATGGCCTAGTGAATGCCCCTTGTATATTGTTTTATTATCTATATCTTTATAATATTTCTCTTACCCCAAAAAAAAAAAAAAACCCTGGAAGTTTAGGCTTCTTCTTCGGACTTATAGTTATTAGGATTTTATTTTTTAAATTTTAGATTTTAATTTTCTATTTAGTTCCTTTCTTGGAACAGCCTATAAATGCAGCCACTCTGTGCAAATTCTGCCAAGTTTAGTTTTGTACCCAATCTATCCATCCAAATCCATATCTAATCGGGACTAAACTGAGCATAATTTTTTTCTTGGAACAGCCTATAAATATTAGGGCTGAATAGAATTGGATTGATTCTCTTCCTCTTAATTTGGTTGAACAGTATTTTTTCTTACCTATCTCTATTGGCAGTCTCTTCTCCTCCCTCTATTTCTCGCCCCTTATACCCTTTCTTTCTTTTTATTTCTTTCCCCTTAACTTCCTTTTCTCCTTCTCTCCCATGTCTTCCTACGGTGCTACACCACTTCCTTCATGGATGAAATTGAGAAAATAATCTATGAATAAATTGTGGCCTAAAAAAATGGAGGGTTTGTGAACTGCAGACAAGCCCAATGATTTTTGCTGAAGAAGATGCAACTACGACAAAGCTGTAGAAAGATTTTCATGTTTTCTTCTTTGTTGAACTCAATTTTATTTTTTTGGCAGGTTATGTTTTCACCAGAGGAGGGTATGTGGAACTGTCAAAAAAGCTTTCACTTCCTTTGGGTTCCACTCTTGACAGGCATGTAATTTAATACACATATTACCCATTGGGTACTGAGAGATTCTGTTTGAGTGCTTACTTTCTCTAATTCAATTTTTCATGCTCAGGTATGAAGGTCTAGTACTCTCTGTTGGTGGGAATGGAAGATCTTATGTGTTAATTCTTGAAGCTGGTCCTTCTGCGGATACAACTCAAAGCAAAATGTATTTTGCTCGATTCAGCACAAAAGTAGGATTTTGCAGGGTAAACTCTCTCTTTCCAATAAGCAAAGGACCAGTGGCTCAGTTTGGTGCAACCAATCTGATCTCAATTAGTTTCTCTTACCTGCATTTTACTAGTGTAAATCTTTACAACTTTTTCTATTTGTTTTAATAGGTGAGAATACCATTTTCATCCTTTCGACCAGTGAAACCAGATGATCCTTCATTAGATCCATTCCTTGTACACACCCTGACCATACATTTTGAGCCAAGAAGACAGGTCTTTCTTCTACATAAAACATTTTCCATTTCCTCTTGTTTTTGTATTTGTTTCAAATGAATTTCCTATTGCTGGAGAGTTTTGGGTCTTCATACATGTTCCCTAGCTCTCTCATTTTTTTTCTTGGTTTTACCATTGCTTCTTGAAAATCAAAATAATATATTTACCTTAAATTTTTTTTTCTTACTAGCTGCCCAGCTGGTGATATTAGTGGTAAAGTCCAAAGCTGGACTTAATAAACATGAACCCTAAGTTGGTTCAAACATATAACGTAATGATAACGCTATTGGATGTTAGTTTTTATGTGGTAGTGCAGATGTATGACATGCTGAGAGGATGCTAACAGGGAGCAGAACCCCAATTACATCCAATATATTCAAAATTGAAGAAAGTCTATACAGGACCTGGAGCATTAAAGAGGGAAGATTTTAAAAGAGATTGGTGGGGTGGAAGAGGGGGGTGTCTTTCTGAAACAGGAACACTTATTTGAGAGCACTTTTTTTAGCATACATGCATACAAAAAAGTTACAAAGAGATTTTGTGGGGCAAAATTGGTGAGGAGTTAAATTGAATTCATCAAATTTGATCAATCCTTAACGAGTAATCCTAATGTGGCGGATTTCGTCAAGGAGATGCAGAAATAGTACTTCAAGATCCATTACGTATTCAAGGCCTTTTGTGCTTCTTAGCATATGTTGTTTTTGCACAAATGTTTTTGGTTCTTAGAAAGAAACAGTTCGAGAAGGTTCAATTGTCCAAAATGAATTTCTAGACTCGTGGGCTTATCAATATCAAGTTTGTAAAAATCATTTAATTGATTGGGATTCAGTCTGCACTCCTATTAGGGAAAGGTGGATTGGGCTTTAGAAAGTTGGAAATCTATAACCTTGGTTTGCGTGGCAGAGAGGCTGGAGGTGGATTTTGCTCCAATTTCTCATTTTGCAGAGAATAATCATGCTGCAGTGGCTGATTGTTTGCATAGTAGGTCATCTAGTTTTTTGGGATATATTGTTGTGTTGGGATTTACAGGACTGGGATACATCAACTATTGGGTTATAGGAAGACACTACGAGATAGAGTTTATCTAGATTAGGTTGCTTTAAGGTAAAATCTTTCTATAAATCTCTGATTGGATATTACACTTCGTCTTTTCCTTTGAAAGAAATTTGAGGTCCTGATGCTCCTTCCAAGGTGGCATTTTTTGTGTGATCTGAAACTAATGGAACTCACCATTGATAATTTCACATGCAGAAAATGTGTGATTTTGAATTGGTGTTGTTTGCGTAAAACAGGCAATGAATCGTCTTCTTATCCACTACCTAGTGGTAAGATAGTTTTGAGCTATGGTTCTTTGTTTACACATTTGTGGTGGATTGGATGTTCCCTTTTGATGTAGAAAATTTGCTCCACAGTTGGTGAGAGATAAAGGAGGAAGAATTTGGCTACCTATGTTTGACAGTCGAGGGGTTACAGGGGGTAATTTGATAGAGATTAAAGACCGTTTTGAGTCAATATATAGTTGGTGGCTGAGGGTTTGTGTACCCAACTCTTAACCAGTTTTTGGATGTTGTAGAGCTTTTTTATACAACTGAATGTGTGTAGGTGGTCTCTTGTATCTTAACCAGTTTTTGGATGTTGTAGAGCTTTTTTATACAACTGAATGTGTGTAGGTGGTCTCTTGTATTTTATTTACTTTCATTTTGTATCTAGCTGGCATCATCTCTGGTGATGCATTTATGATAAATTATTACTTAATTAAAAAAAGAAGTTGTCATATTGAAAGGAGCATTGGTGAACAAATCCCTTTTCCTAGATAAAGACGAAACAAAGCCACTCGTGAACTCTTTGTAGGAAGATTTGATGTTGAACTTTATAGATTTGAAAGGCAACCATTGTGTGACATCCTTACATTACCCATTCAACCTCACCATACAAGGTCCTAAAAAACTCCATCACCTTCTCCAAATCCATTTTCATCAATGCTTGGTTATAAGTTTCAAGTCTTCTAATCTCAAAACCTCTTGTAACAACAGAGTGCAAACCATATACCAAACAACCGAATGATACTTGAAATCTTCTTTTACATGCCTCCCTAAATAGAACTCATTCATCTATCTCATTTTTTGCCACTGCTGGTGGAATGGTGAAGGTTAATAAGAAATAGGATGACTAGACAACGTGTTCATAATTAATGTCACTTGTCTGTCCTTGGACAAACAATGTCATTTCTACCTTGCCAAATCTCTCCATCACTTGATCTGAGACCAACCAACTAGGGTTTCAAGGATGACCGAAAGAGTAGGCCCAAATACATCGAAGGAAAGGATGCTAATGTAGAGTCCAAAATAGATGCTAAAGCATCAACCTCTGCTATCTTATATGCTAGAATAAACTCTTCTCCAAATTCACTCTCACCTCGAAAACTACCTCAAAAGATAAAAAGCAGACACAGTAAGCACACAAGATGCTGACTTCGTACAACAAGTGGGACACCAAGCCTGTACCCTGCCTTTCTGAGCAGCTTCAAAGCCAAGCACACAAGCTGCTAACGTTGTACAACAAATGGGAAACCAGTAGCTTTATTAAATCCTTTATAAGCTCAAGCACTCCATAGCCTATTAATTGCCATACAACCTAACCTTTCAATATGAAACCTGTAGAATTATTGGAAGATTTAATTAGTTTGATGATCTGTCAGCATTATTAGTGGCTAAGATTGAGGAAATCTATAGCTAATAGATCATTATTTGGTCCCACGATTTTAGGGGATTCTAGTAGTCTGTTATCAAATTTGTAGATAAGAGTTTCCTGTTTTATTGCTTTCTGTTTTAGATAAGTTTGATTCCATTCTAGGTAAGTTGTAAATATCCCTATAAATTAGATGAGTATTATCATCTATAAAAGGGTGAATGTAATCCTTTATTTGATACAGTGGAATATGTAGAAATATAATGTAAAGAGAAATAGAGAATTGTATTATTGATTGATTATATGTTGATCTCTATTACAATGATTCATGATTCCTATATATAGAAGAGGGTGAGTGTGTAGTAGGTAAGGAGTAGGTGAAATGGAGGTGGTAGTGGTGTATGCTTTCGTTTCCCAAATCACCTCCAATCAAGAAGCCATGGCTTCCAGCAACAGTAGTGCAGATAGTAACCTCATGCCCATTACAGGACACAAACTGAATGGGAACAACTATCTCCAATGGTCCCATTCCGTAATGATGTTCATATGCGGAAAGGGAAAAGACGATTATCTCAATGGAGTTGTTGCCAAACCAAACAAGGATGATGAGAAGTTCAATATCTGGAATTCTGAAAATAACATGGTCATGTCATGGCTCATTAATTCCATGACAAATGACATTGGAGAAAATTTTCTTCTCTACGGAACAGCAAAGGAGATTTGGGAAGCTGCTAAGGAAACGTATTCTAACAATGAGAATACATCTGAATTGTTCGAGGTGGAAAGTGTTCTCCATGACTTCCGCCAAGGAGATTTAATGGTGACTCAGTACTTCAACACACTCAACCGCTACTGGCAACAGCTGGACTTGTTCGAGGAGCACAATTGGAGCTGTCCTGACGATGGAATCAGGTATAGACAGATTATTGAACGGAAAAGAATATACAAATTTCTGATTGGATTAAAGAATTGCCGAAAGAAAAAACAGGCATCTTCTAGATGTTGCATGCTCCCTTATGTTCTCTACCCATGTACCAAAATTTTTCTGGGGTGAAGACATTCTCATTGCAGCATATCTCATAAATAGGATGCCATCTCGTATTCTCAACTTCCAAACTCCCTGTCAACTCCTACTTCAGTCCTTTCCCAATACTCGTCTCATCTCCACTATCCCCTTCAAAGTTTTCGGGTGCTCAACTTTTGTTCATGTCCATCAACAACACAGGGATAAACTTGATCCTAGAGTCCTTAAGTGTATTTTTCTTGGGTACTCTCCAACTCAAAAGGGATATAAGTGCTACTCTCCAGTCACTAAACAGTACTATTACTCCATGGATGTCACCTTTTTTGAGTACCAGCCTTATTATCCCAAATCTGATATTCAGGGGGAGCCTAATTTTGTCCAGGAATACCAGCTTTGGGATATTGAAGAATCATCTCACCTTTCTCCTAATTCTGACCAATTTTGCCCATCACTGAATCCTAAATCCATTCCTCTTCAACATCTCTTCCTAGAAACTCCTTCTCAAGCTCAAACCAACAATCTGCCTGTTCCTATTAATCCACCTCAAAATCTGGACACTATTCAATTAACAAAGAATGATGAGTTGATTACCTACTCACGGAGGAGAAGGAACCAAAAGGAGATGGAACTACAAAGCATCCCAACCCTTTTCAATGATTCACAGTGATGTATGAGGTCCATCTAGAATCAAGAATGTTACTGGTTCTAGCTGGTTTATTTCCTTTATTGATGATCACACTAGACTTACATGGGTCTTCCTCATGAAAGAAAAATCAGAGGCAGGTCAGATTTTCAAAAACTTCAATCAATCCTGAGCAAGCCCAAGAATTTGATCCAAGTCCTAGATCAAGTGAAGATCCATCAGGTAACTCTAATCCCGAGACTTCACATAGTGAGTTAACTAATGATGATAGTGATATTCCTATTGCTGTGAGAAAAGGTGTAAGATCATGCACAAAACACCCTATATACACATTTGTGTCACATGAAAGACTGTCACCAAAGTTCAAATTATTTGTTGCCAACCTCAACAACATCCAAGTTTCCAATAACATACAAGAAGCCCTTGGCTCACCTGAGTGGAAATCAGCCGTGTATGAAGAAATACATGCGCTTGAAAAGAATGGAACCTAGGAAATCTCAGAATTACCAACTGGAAAACGTCCAGTAGGCTGCAAATGGATATTCACAGTCAAATATAATGAAGATGGGAGTATTAATTGATTCAAGGCACGGCTGGTTGCAAAGGGATTCACCCAATCATATGGAATCGACTATGAGGAGACAT